TAGCTCCTGTGGAGATGAAGTTAGGCAACATATCTAAAGGACTAACATTGATAGTTAGAAGGCGCTCAATGAATAACAGGTGCTCTGGCTTGACTTAATACTAGGCAATAACAAGGCATTTTCAGCAATTGTACAGATGACAGGTGAAGCACAATGCCAAACGACTTTCCAACAACAACAAAAAATCCTTCAGTGTAATGTTGGGATATTCCAATGGGAAACATTTTCTTCAACAGTGCAGGGTAACAGTGGATGAGATATTTTGGCCTTGTTCTCAGTGCCTTGAAGTGCTGAGTGAGTCAGAACATCTCTTGGTATTCATAAAAATTGAGCTTGGGATTCATTTGTTACTCAGCAAAACATTTGGAATGCTTCTGTGTGTGTGTACATATGGTGAGCCTCACACACTGTTTGAGATACTTGAGAGAACAGTGAATTAAATAAATAAATACATAAATAAATAAATAAATAAATAAATAAAAAGGCCAGGCTTAGTGGCTCATACCTGTAATCCCAACACTTTGGGAGGCTGAGGCAGGAGGATCACTTGATGCCAGGATTTCAAGATCAGCCTGAGCAACTCAGTGAGACTTCATCTCAGTAATAATAATGATAATAATAGCAACAACAACGACAGAGGAGGTTCCTGTACTCGTGGAACTTACAGTCCAGTTAGAGATAGACATCAAATATGTATATGATGTGTAGCTTTGACAAAGGTTTTAGAGGACAAGGCAGGGTGCTCTGAGACTCTGGGACATTGAGACCCCCATCTTCCTAAGTGCACGATGCTGTTAATTGAGAAAGTCACTTATTCCAATGATCACTAATTTGTAAAGTGATAAATACATTTCCCTTTGGAAATGTCACCTCAGAAGTGACTACATCCAGGTCCCTGACTTGTACAAAGTGCTATCAATTTTGATTGTCACTAACTTTTAAGGAGTTGAGAAAAACAAGTTCTACGTTGCCTTCTGTAACTCCAACCAGAAAATCAGGAGGGAACATTTTGCAAACATGACACCTCGTCATTGCAGGCCTGACACCCACTCAGTTGGTTTATGTTCCTGGGGCTGGTGTTTGTCAGCCGTAACAAGATGGCTTCGGTCCCCTCTCTGCTTCCCTATTGAGGCTGGGGAAGTGAAATGAGACACATTGCTTTCACTGGAATCTGTGGCACAGATTCCTGTTATCTGTTGGTTGTTATGAATTATGACTTTAGAACACTTCAGAATTCTTTGTTCAAGAGGTAAGTTCCTGTAAGCTGGCATGGTTACGGGAGTTAAGGTTCGTATGTTTACCAAAATGAGGTCAGATTTGAATCCCTCTCTGACTAAGAACGTAGGACTTTGATAGATTTGTGTAACTAGCACTAACTAGTTGTGTGAGTATGAGCAAGTAACCCCATCTGCCTTGACAAAGAGGAGAACCACATGCAGTACCTTGGATTCTTGTTGAATGAGGTAATATAGGAAAAGCTGCCTTGCTAAGTTTTGTTTCCTCAGTGCTTAGAACAATAATAAGTATGTAGTTGGTGCTTAAGAAAAGGTTTCTTATCATATCACCACTGTCATCATTGCCATTGCCATTTTCACCACCACCATCACCACCATCTTCATCTTAGTATGGATTCAGTTAGTAGGGATTTTTCAATAAGAACAGATTAGGTTAAATTCTGTTTCTTCCACTAACTAATTTACTGGTTCTCCTATATTAGAAGGTGATTTTTTTTACCCATTTAGCATCTCAGTTTTCTTATCTGTGAAAGGGACCATGATGTCTACCTCATGTACACAGTTGTGAATTCTAAAGTACCTGACACACAGTAGGTAAAGATACAACATACCTCACCTCTCCCTAGGTTCTCCAGAGGAAGAACCTCACTGGACTGGAAGGGGGACCAATTTCATTCCCGCAATGGGATGTGCATGCCTGAAGAAATTTCTAGATTATTAATCACTTTCCAGTAGACTTTCTCCCTACAATATCCTAAGAGTCTGATTGGGGAGAAGAATATGTATTGCTATTTATATTTTATGAATAAGAAAACTGTGCCATGTAAAGGTTGAATTACTTGCCAATAGTTCCACCATTATGCTTCTGATTCCTCAATATTTAACTTGGATTCCACAGTCACAGCATTAAAAGGTTAGATAGTAACTAATACCAAAAATTCTTTAGCACAGTGTTTTTCATATTTTATTTGCTTTTAATGCAATCCATAAAAATTGTTACATTGCAACCCAATTCTCCCACATAAAAGTTTCATGAAACAACACCAACTCTTAACTATTTTATTCTTCTCCTATATGGTATAGTTTATTTCATTTAAAGAATGTTGATGTGATGACCCCCTACATGAGATTTACAACTTAAGGTATCACACCTACAGCATGAAAAACACAGATTATTAATCCCCAGGATAGTGTATCAGAACACCCTATGGCACCTTTTGACAGGGGCCTGTATCCCAGTTGCAAAGATTCTGAGACAATAGGTCTGGTGTGGAACCCTAGTATCTGACTTTTAAAAATAATGTCCAACTTGGCCAGGCATGGTGGCTCATACCTATAATCGCAGCACTTTGGGAGCCCAGGGCAGGTGGATTGCCTGAGCCCAGGAGTTTGAGACAAGTTTGGGTAACATTGTAAGACTGCATCTCTACAACAGTCAAAAAAAATTGGCAGGGCATGGTGGCACACACCTGTAGTCCCAGCAACTCAGGAGGTAGAATCACCTGCAATAACATGATAGAGGCTGTGATGAGCCCAGCTTGTGCCACTGTACTCCAGCCTGGGGACAGGGTGAGACCCCCTACTATATAATATGTAACAGATTATATAATATATAATGTATAATATATTATATGACATATAGTGTATAATATATTTTTAAAATATAATGTATATTATATATGTATATTATATAATGATGTTGTTTTAATAACGCTCAACTAATTCATGCTTAGTTGATTAATACCCATGTCCTATTGCAGCTCTCTGATTGTTTCCACCTGAAACTCTTTCTCTATTTACGTTTTTTGTTGTTGTTTGATTGTTTTTTAGTACTTCCTCTCTCAGTCCCTAGAGCCTCGGTGCTTTCACCAGAGTTGTCTGTCATGGGCTCATCCTTCTTTCCCAGGTTGAAGGACAGCAGTGGCTTTTCAGAGAAGGATGAGAGGGGATGGTTCATGAGAGCAACTTCTGTCCCCACATGCTGAGCTGGGGTCTTTCCAAGCAGGGCTTCTTGTCCTCTGTGGCTACTTGGTTCAGAGAGGGAGCTAGCATATTACTTTAGGGAAACTGAAAGCGCTGCTTGTTTTAACCCTGACACTTTGCTGAGTTGAAGATACCCTCAGGGTATGATTGAAAAGGAAATGTAAGGATGGCATAAATGCTATTTATCCAGACTTTCTTTTCAACCTTAGGGAGCTGGAAATTTTAAAAAATATCACCCAGGGGCAACTTGAACTAGAATCTGCAAGACAAACCAGTAGAAAGGTTGGATTCTTCCAGGCAGCCTCTTCTACTCTCGTTCTCCTCTGTTAGATAGTTTAATTACAAGTTTAATCACTCCAAAACCCTGTCCATTCCCTCCAGTCTAGCAAGATCTCTCTTTTTATAGCAAGGAGTCTCAGGGATAAACCGCTGTCCATAGGAGGGTGAATGGGCCACTTGAAACCTCTCCCTCGATGAGCAGGAAAGACATGACCAAATAAAAACTGAAATTGTTTAGACATTTCACTCTGGTTGTTGTAGTTTTAATAATAAAGGGAGAACAAAGTATTTGCAGCTTTACATAAAGAGGCTGCATTTGGCATGTATGCAGTGTTTCACTGGGAATTTTTTTGCAAGAGATTTTATTTTTGCTTGTTGAGAGAGAAGAAAAAAACAATAAGCTAGGAAAAAGGCAAAAGTTCAAGAAAAGGAGAAAGCAAGACCCCTATACTTTTCCTTCACAGCATTTATCACCACTGGAATTCTGTGGTCATCTTGTTTGTGTGTGTGTTTTTGTTTTTCTTGAAGCCGGTTGCCATACTTGACTCTAAGGTCTATGGGGACACAGATGGTTTTGGGTTTTGCTGGCCATTTCATTAAATGTGAATGAATGAATCTGTTTATATAGTGTACACTATGAGCCAGGCCCTGTGTGTGTTTCTTTTGTTGTAATTTGATTTTTAATTAAATCCTCACAATAACACTATGAAGTCATTCATCATTGTTCCCATTAAACAGAAGCAAAAACTGGACCCAGAGTATTACAACAACTTGTCTAAGATCACACAGCTAGTCTGCAAAAGAACTAGATTTCAAAATCTTCCAAGTAATCATCAGTTATGGTCTTTTAAGAGCAATTTCCGATGAACCACACAGTTTTGTTATACATTCATTCTCTCTGACGTGCCCTAGGTTTTTTGTTTAATTTACCCTTTGCTATCTCTCTATCTCTGGCTTTCTTCAGCGCCCCCCCCCCCCCCCA